CCCCAGCGGGCCTCCAGGAGCGGCTGGCGCGAGGCGTCGGATGCCTCTGGCGTCCCTGTCAGCTCCCGGCCCGAACCAGCAGAGGTCAGCAGTGAGGGAGGCCCCGGGGCCCCTCTCCCGCCCCCGCGCGGATCCGGCTGGCCCACATTCGGCCTCCGCGGGGTAGGGCCTTTGTCCCGGCGGCGCCCAGCCGTCGCGGCCGGCCGAAGGAGCTATGGGCGCCCATTGGCGCTCGTTCGCTGATGGGCTAGCCGCTAAGTGAGCTACGGTTTGAGGCCCACGTTTGAAGTCTTGGCTCCAGCATTTGAAAGCTGGCATTGCAGCTTATCCACTCTATGACCTTGGGGGAGTTGCTCAGTCTCTCTGGACTCCCATTCTCCATCTGTAAAATGGACCGAGTACTACTGTTGGCCAGCCAGGGCTGTCTGTCCTCAGGATTAAATGCACGTGAAGCCCTGGGCCACGTCTGGTCACGGCAGAAATGTTAGCCTTTGTAAACCCAGCCCCAAGTCCTGGGGACTCAGAGAGGAGCACGTGGTCAGTGGTTTCTTCTGGTCTTACAATCTGACCAGGGGTGGCGGGGAGCAAACCCTCAGTATGGTTACGACAGAAATGCTAGCCTTTGTAAACCCAGCCCCAAGTCCTGGGGACTCAGGGAGGAACACGTGGTCAGTGGTTTCTTCTGGTTTTACAATCTGACCTGGGGACCTGGGGTGGCCGGGGAGCAAACCCCTCACGGACACACCGTCACTGCAATGCCAACAGTAACACAGGGTAATAGGTAAATACAGAGAGGGGAGGCAGTGTTTGTGAATAAAGTAATTGATTCCCAAATAAGGGACATTTTCTCCAGGCCAGAGATAGCGTCTTCTGCTTTTCGGAAATGTTCTCTTTATATCTTTGTGGCAACTCTGGAGGAAAACTGGTTGATCCATTTTCCATAGGAAGTGACTGAGAGCAACCTCTAGAACTGATGAAGGGAAAGCATCAGTCACTGTCTCCGCATATTTCCCTGGGATGGCTGAAGCCTTAATTCTCATGTGCCTCCTAGCCATGACTTGGCACTCAGTCATCTTCAGATATTGGTTGAACAAATGTCTGAATGAATGTATCCATCAATGCCTGCACAGGAGGCTTAGGCCCAGGGCCAGCTTCTCACATTAGCAAGCAGGGGCTCTTCCAGCAAATCACACAGTTTCTCTTCAGGCTTGAAGAGCCCAAGGCTTTTGGGTCCAAGGTCAACTTGTGTAGGGCTGGAGGTAGTGGGGGTCATCCACTGAGGGCAGGACACTTCTCAGCAGCCCTGGCTAGACCACTGCACAGTAGGATGCTGATTCACTTTGGTGCTGATTCACTTTGCATTTGCCCCTCTTTTCTTGCTGGGTTTTCCACCCTGTTTGGGCCTGGAGGCTGATCAGTGTGGATTTCATAGCTGGGCAACCTGTCCTCTGGTTCCCTGTTGAATGGCCAGAGGGATCCCTGGCAGGAGGCTGAGGGTACAAGCAGAGAGAGCTCCCTTCCTGCAGAGTGGCTCTTACCCAGGGAGTCATTGCCTGACTGTTCCAGGTTCTGGAACCACTTTGCACGAAGGGTGGGAAAAGTCCTGCCCTCGTACACTGGAAGACTTCACCATCCTGCCTGGTTCCTTAAGCCCTGCCTACACCTTTTAGAAGGACTCTTTGGGCAACTTTTCCTGTGGACCCCCATTTGGTCACCAGGATCCTTGCAATACAGCATTTATACTAAGGCTCATTCTTCTCAAGCACAATTGCAAGTTAAAGAACTTGGAAATGTCCAGGATGGTGAAGGTCTGGCTTGCTGTGCCTGTTACCTCATCCCTGCATTAGCCAGGCCTTCCTAATAAGGCAGGATCACAGAACAGATGATAGAATCAATCTGTGAATCAGCCAGCTTACTGGATTTTCCCAGAAAGGCGATGAGAACCAACCCTCACTACCGGCTTGGTACAAAACTGAGTCCTTCTTCTTCTGGGTGCTCACTTCCCCTTTGGGGAACGTCTGGCCTGGGAAGGCAGACTTTCTTCCCCACCTGTGCTTAGCAGAAAGTGGAATACCTGTTTCCATGCCCTTTCTTTGCTTGCCTGCCTTTTTACCCTTTCTTTTCCCTCTTCCTAAATATTTGATATATCTTGTACCACTTGTAAGTGTTCAGTTCTGTGGATTAATCACCTTCACTTCGTTGTACTGTGATCCCTACTATCCATCTCCAGGACTTCTTTTGACCATCCCAAACAGAAACTCTGTCCCCATTAACCTCTTCCCCCATTGTCCCAGCCCTAGCCCCTGCATCCACGTGTGTGACCTTGAACAAGCCCACCAACCCTTGTACCTCTATCTCCCATCTGTAAGATGGAGTACAAAGAGCCACTCATACATAGGCTTGTTCCAAACTCTGAGTGCAACAGTACATGTAAACCATATTTTTTTTTTATTATTTTGTTATTAACCAATTGGATATGGCTAAATATTTCTATTTAGCCTGCATCCAACCCCCAAACTTAATTTTAAGCAAGTCTCTCTTTCCTAGTCCTGATTCTCCCTTTAGCCCCTGATTAAATGCCCAGTCTCATCTCTAACCAAGTGCTTCCCTTTCCCTCTCACCCTAACAATCAAGATGATTTATCATCTCCAGAAGAAAATAAATTGTTTTTTCCACACTGACTTGCCTTAGCATAAGCTAGTCATTTCCTCACCTTGTCCGCTGTGACCTCTTATTTAGTCTTCAAAGCTCAGTGGGGATGTCACTTCCTCCAGGAAGCCCTGCTTCCCTGATATATAATTGCTTCCTCTCCTGGCTGTCATGGTGCCTGGGCACAGCCATCATTCTGGGCTATAATTACCTTCATTCATAGTTCTAACTCCAGGCTCCAGGGTACTGGGATAGACCTTACTCATCTCAAATTCCCCAGTATCTGGCTCCAACTAGCCATCCCCAACACCACAAAAAAAAAAAAAAAAAAAAAAAAAAAAAA